TGCTTGTGCCTGCGTTTCATCACTGCATAGCGCATGTGAAATCGCAGTTGCGTTTTCATCTGAGTTTTCGTTTGCATCACACGGCTGAACAAAAATTTTCATCACTGCTACGCAGGTTTTGAAGAAATGTTTTGAATTTTAAATTTTGACGCCAACTTTGAACGTTACCTATGACGTCACTCTTAGTCACGTAAAAACCAGTCATTGCAAGTGGATTTTTTCTAGTTCATTTCCTGCCATTTTTGGCTTTTTATTCGGAATCCTTTAAGTTTCTCTTTGGATAAAACAGAAGTAAAAACAGCCATTTCTGATTCTGGCCGACAGATTCTATGTCAGTCTACTTGTTATTTTTGTCTTATTTATTCATAAACATCTTGCATTTCATTGTGTAAAATGATGCTTGAGTCAATTCCGGTTTTAGTGTGGAATTGGTGCCTCTTCAAGAATTAAATAAATGTGGATGAAAGCGAATGAAAGAAAATGTATGTATATGAATATGATGTAGAATACAGTCGATGTGTCTGTTAAGATACGATTTCTCTCTCAAGAATAATCAAAGATTTTTACTCGCTAATGTCACAGAAAATGACACTTGTCGCTCCACGTATCATCTTCTAACGCGTCCTAACAGCCATCTTTGCAGTGAGTTACAGGCATATCTTCTCCAAAGAAAACACGTGTATGTTAAGATGCTATTTCTCTCTCATTTAAAGAATAATCAAAGATTTTTACTCGCTAATGTCACAGAAAATGACACTTGTCTGTGCACGTATCATCTTCTAACGCGCCCTAACAGCCATCCTGAGCCTACGTTCAGACGGCAACGGACGACTTTTCGTCAGACCGGCTGAAAAAGTTTGACCGGACGCTTAGTTCACACGGGACTGTACAATATTTTCGCTCTGTTCACTTAGAACGGCTAAGCGTATAAATTTCGTACGGTTAAGGTGGTTCCGTGTGAACGGAACACCTTAACCCTTTAAGACCCAAGAATGACCAACATCAATTTTCTCCTAACAATTTCAGCAAATCATCGAGAGTAAAGGTTATGAGAATAAACAAAATGATCACCTAAGGGAAAATGCTTTGATCTTTGAACAAATTCTCTCAACTCATTCTGTAAGGAAATGTATGGAGATCAGTTAGGAGAATTTGTATGTGGATTTTGGGGCTTAGAGGGTTAACATGCGAATTTTCAACCGGTCGTTTTGGATATTCACCCTGGCTTGCTGATGGGCATTCTTGTAGACTTAAGGACAGGCAGTCTTCGCCCCAGCTATCTGCCTCTGGTTCTCGTGGACAGCTTGTCGTCCGTGGCCAACATTCTTAACCAAGCAGTCTTCGAAAACCTCTTTCTCGACCCTAAATTTGTGCAAACTTTGTTTACTTTGACACGGGCTGTTTTGTACTTTGTTTAGTGGTTCAGCCATGAATGTTGCTTACAGACCAGTGGAGTTGAAGAAGTTCTTGGAAGAGGCTGCGAGAGTGTCTCAGGTAGATTTTCGTTTGGCCTCCTGTCTTCCTGCTTTTGAAATCTGCTACATACATTTATACCAGTAAAATGTATACTGCAAAAAAGATGTTAGCTTAGCAGTTCGAGTAGAACTAATAGTATCAACTGTTGATTTCAATACAGGATCAGCCGGTAGTGATGACAAAGTTTATCGAAGTTGCCCGAGAAATTGAAATGGACGCCGTCGCTAAGAACGGAAAGGTTTGTGATGTTTGACCATTTACTGCTTCATGTTAACTTAACTATTAGTTGTCTTCTAATGGATCATCTCTGTACTCACAGCTCTGTTTTCTTGACTTTGGTGTCTTGTTTCTTCCAGGTTGTTGCTCACGCTATTTCTGAACATGTGGAGAATGCTTGTGTTCATTGAGGATTCACAAACAATCAGCGAGGAGGATATCCAGCAGGTACAAAAGCGGGTGGGGCTGACCACGTGCTGCTAGCAAATGATCGCAGTATAGTTCCATGTCAGTAGCTCACTAATAGGCTTGGTCACGCACCTGCCACCTCGTTTACGCTAAGGAACTTGAGGAGCAGAACCCTTACGTTAACCAATATGGGAGGGGCTGACCACGTGCAACAAGCCACTAGTTACAGTATGGTTGATGTCAACAGCTCACGAATGGGCGCGATCAGACATGCGCTATCTCGCTTACGAGTTTGAGGGTGTCCACGTGATGCCAGAAACCGTTGTAGATCTAAAGCTCAACTGGCCTTTAATTCTAAGAGGCGTAACAAAAGAGGTGTCCCCTTTTCTGTGCTTACGAACTTTGACAGTCGGTGTCCCCGGTTAGTTCTGCGGCCTTTTATAGGCCGTGCGGGGTGATAATTTCAATGTGTCTGGTTGTGTCCTTTCACTGAGCAACGTGTTCGTTAGACAGCGGTTGAACGACTATATTACATTCACGCCTTTTGATGCACCTCCAATGAAATTTAACCATATTCGTTAGTTCTGCAACAGGGAATACCCGGATGAAACGAGGACCTTTGAAACGTGTACGAAAATTAGTAACACATTAAGCCAACGTAGATAGTACGACTTTTTCTGTGTAGTTGTTGCCTTTTGCTGATTAAGTGGGATTTTTAACTATTATACTTTCAGGTCAAAGAAGCCACCCGAAAGATTGCAGAGAGATTTAACATTTCTGGTCCGTTCAATACTCAGTTTTTAGCCAAGAACAATGATATCATGGTACGTCCACTAATTATGTTTATGTGGTCTGTGATTATTTTTACCCTGTGTTCGATATTGTTTTGGGATTTTGTTCCTGTGAATCGGTTTTAATTTCCCTTCCCCTGGAATCTGTTGCATATTCTCTCGCGTGTGTCACTAAATAGAAATCTTTCCACGTTTATCGCCGTTGCCATCTGGTGAAGCTGGCCGCGTAGTTCAGTTTTTTGGTTATAATACATTCTTTTACCAATGATCAAACTTGTTCACTTTGCTATCAGTATCAAGACAACTCATCACATATCTTCTTATTGATGACAAGCTTTGCAAGTCAATCTAATTCATGCGATGAAACAGTCACAGTTTTGTTTCTTTTTTGTACTGTCAGGTCATCGAATGCAATCTGCGTGCATCTCGCTCGTTTCCTTTCGTATCCAAGACAGTGGGTACGGACTTCATAGATGTGGCAACAAAGATCATGGTGGACTATCCTTTGCAAGAACATACCCTTCCCCATCTGGACACGCCCCTACAGCCATCTGGATATGTGGGCATCAAGGTTTGTCCGCGCATTCTATTCTTGTTATTCTGTTTAAACGTTTTATCAGCAACCGCGGCAGGACTAGTTTGACTGCTGAGCGGGAAGTGGCGGGTTCGATCCCCGGGGCAGACCAATATTCGGGATCCTAAAATAACTGAGAAATGAAGGTACTGCCTTTGCCTTGCAGACAGCTATACCTTGATGTGGCTTTAAACAGGGTTGTCACTAAGATTTCAAGTTGCCGGGCAAATACGACAAGTAGGCGGGGAGTCAAACAGCTAGGGATTTCTTTTGGTTGTATTTTTCTTCTGTTAGCAGGAGACCACATTCATAGTAGGTGGGAGAAATCCCCGGCCCCCGGCCCTTAATGACAGCCCTGGGCTTAGATGACCACGTAGAACTGGTGGCCCGTGATTTGAACTCGGGACGACCGATAAACAAATTCAGGTAGTGGTCAGAGAGGGATTCGAACCCAGAAGTCCGACTCGTGAACCACTCGTCCCACTCTTGGACAACCGTGACAACTAATTCCTATTTTTTAACTCGTTGGGTGTTCTTTTCAGGCGCCAATGTTTTCATGGCCTCGGCTGCGTGACGCCGATCCACTGTTGAAATGTGAAATGGCCTCCACTGGCGAGGTAAGAACAAAAAAGAATTGCTGCAGGCAGTAATTGACTGTAATCGCAAATTTTCACTCTTTGATTATAACTTTCGCGCCAAAATGGTTGTTCCAAGTAACTTATTTTGGCTTCGTGTCCCTGCAGGTTGCTTGTTTTGGCGCGAATGTTCATCAGGCGTTTCTCAAGGCTTTGATGTCAACTGGCTTCCGGCTTCCCAAGAAAGGCATTCTGATTGGTATTCAGGTACGTTGATTGACACTCTAGCGCTGTTCTCATTCAATCAGGAACATGGGTCATTGTACAATTTGATTTCCCCACCGTAAAAAACGTCTGTACCTTTAAGTTACTCACAGGATTTCTCTAGGGGAGGGTTAAGAGGGAGTAGACAAGATTTGTTTTATTCTCACGTCATCTAAGCCCCCACACCCGACCCCCCTACATGTAGGAATCTCGCCCCAGGTCTACTCCCTCTCCACAGACCCTTCGTCTAACAGCTGACACTTGAACACAAGACTATCTTTCTCGAAATCCATTCCACGAAAAACACTTTGTAATAAGTCGAGGATAAGTGAAAAGTTTCATTCATGCCTCTAAACTTTATTTTGTCAATCCAAGAGTCGAGTTGGTGCCTTTGGTTTCAGAAATACGGAAAGGTTGGCAGCTCGGGTTATCGTAGGCTTGCGTTTTAACTCAAGTGAGAAGGGACACACTCTTTAGCCGGACAACTTCGTAATCGTTGTAACGCATAATACCAAGGCTAGATGATCGTGAGTTTTATATACATTAATTTAATGGCTTTATATTTTCATGTTTTGAACAGCAATCCTTCCAACCGAAGTTCCTTCCAACAGCGAACAAGCTTCATAAACTGGGATTCACGCTGTACGCTACAGAAGCCACCTCGCAGTATCTGAATGAACACAATATTCCAGCTCAGCCAGTGGAATGGCCCCTTCACAGTGCTGGAGTAAACTCAACAGCTACCAGGTAGATTTTAGTCACTGCTTTTAACCGTGCATGCCTCTTCAATAAAAAAAATCATTTTTTTTCTTCGTTACTTACGAACTCAGTTCCCTTAACTCTTAGAAAAGCTGCCACAGTTAACCTTCTTAGGAGAAAAACTAGCTGTTTTCATCTCAGAGGGTGGAGGGCGAGTTAGTTTTCCTCTGTTTGTCTACGTAGTAGTTTTCGTATTATCTTTAAAACTGCAGTTCGAAGTTCGCGTAAACGCCAACAATACAAAATTGGATTAATTGACGAGTTCATAAACAGCACAGTATTTGTCAACTCCCACTCCTGTCTCTGAAGTCTGCTGTGAATAGTTAAAACAACTATTCCTGTGAACATTGGAAAATAACACAGAATCATAGAGATGTAATATATAAAAGTGTTTAAAACACTTCTCTTCCATCGCGCGATGTTCAGGTTATGATCAGAAATGATATTTCGCACTGTCTGCTGTTGGAAATGAATTAGAAGCTGATGTCTGCGAACAATTTGATAAATTCTGATGTACAAAACAGTAGAAACCAAGAAGCAAATGGCAATTCCAGGGACAAAGACTATCCTTGCGTAGGTTCTGTTCCATACGTAAAGACATGATGCAGAGAACATCAAGAACCAAAGAGTTAGAGATGTGCAAATTGCGCGCTTATTCGTCATCAGATTCGGGTATCGCAGATGATAATGAAGAGTAAAAAACCGATCTAAGCTTATCGCTGTCATTGTACACAAAGAAACACCACAGCCTAAAGACGATAAAGCGTCGAATGCATCTTTAAATCCCTGTTCAGGGTTCAGTTGATATGCAATGTAAACCGGTTGTACCACCAAGCCAACAAGAAGATCCGAGACAGCTAGACTGCACAAGAACAGTATGGACGGTGAACGAAGAGAAGGAGTTGTTAATATGGCGACCAGCACGAAAACGTTCCCAAAGATCGATGGGGGCATTAGCAGAACATTAAGCAGACAATTCGTGACGATAAAAATATTCATCCTCTTTCAGATTTTTGACTCGAACGGTAACAAATAAAGTTTCACAGTTTAAGGTTTGCCCGTGATAAGAATTTATTACACCACGAAACTGGGTTGACTGAAAGACAAATATCAATAACTTGTGGTGCTCTTTATCATTCGAAAAGCATTTCTCCCTTTTTGATTCACTCCTTCATGGCAAGTGTAATCAAACTCCCTGGAAAGTTGAATTGAGAAAAACGCACTGGGACAATACCTTTTAAATTATTTCCACCCAACGTGATTACACTGGTTGATAGCAATATAACTGGCTTTGTTTTGTCCCTTTGCAATAAAAAGAAATATAATGAGAAATTGCTTAGAAATCTTATCTAAACAGTGTTGACAATTATTGCTGTGGCCACTAAAGGGAACGAGAGGTCGTGTTTTTTTAATAACCGCTTTTCTATACCCGGGCAATATAATACAAAGGGACATTGTACAGAAACAATATTAATTTGCCTTTTAAAAATGAACATCTGCTAGGACAGAAATTTAAATATGCTTCATTAACCAGGCTTGTTCCGTCAATCTATTATTTTTTCCGTTTATTTGTTATATTTTATTATTTAATTGATTTATTTTGTGGACAGAGACAAAGTCAATTTTTAGCTATCTTGATCAAAAAAGCATGGTCATTAAAAGAACCTCCAAATATGCTCTTGCGGTAAAAAGCGGTTAAACCCGAGTGGGCAAGATACATTGGAACTTCTTTCTAACAAAATATGTGGAAAAAGCCTTAATATAAAGAACCCTTGCTTATAGCCATTCGCAGTCCCTTAGCCATCTTGCCCTCTAAAACAGACGAATCATAACACACCATTCATTTCATCCTTGCTGCGCAGCCGTATAGCAATAGTTGTTGGGGAGTTTAAGATGTCACTACGGCAACGAGAACGTCAAAAAAGCAATAGGTTTAGGTTAGCAAAACAACAACTTCGCACGTGCATCACGCTTTTTTGTACATTTCTTTGCCGTCACTGCACGACTACGACGTGAATCGCCTAATTTCACGTTTTATCGACAACGTGAACATACGACGACGAATTTCTCTTTCTCTCTTTAAACTTGAATATCTTTTTTTAAGAATTCATATCCAGGAAAGTTTTCCTACATTGGACAAAGTGAGCGAGTTGTGATAATCGCGCTGCAGTTTAAAGAACGTGAAGTCACTTTTTAAGTGGCGTTTTCTGCCGCCGTCGCCATGGTATCTTAAGCGACGGACCATTAGAAAAGTTATGGGGGGGGGGTGGGTTATTTTCGAGCCGCAGGAATTTTTTTTCGTTATCAAATTCCATGTATGATTTTTTTTAGGCCATAGCATGAATATTTTTTAGGGTTAATTGGCGTGCACGAATTTTTTTCATTTAATTTTCCTTTACGCGAATATTTTTTTTGTACTTCGCCCCCCCCCCCCATAAGCTTTCTAATGGTCCGTCCCTAAACTCCCTGTTATTGCAGTTGTCGGCGGGTCATTATGCATAAGTTCGGTTATCTTGTGTCTCTCGAGAGAAACTCCGCTATTCATTTATTATTCTCACAGCTGGTCTTCATCATGCGATGTTGTTATGTTGTAGATTGATCCAGGACAAAGTCGTGGACCTCGTCATCAACCTGCCCAATCAGAACACAAAGTACATCAAGGACAATTACCTTATAAGGAGAGCGTCTATCGACACCGGTGTCCCGCTCATCACAAACTTAGAGGTATGACGTCATTCTTCTTTTCAGGTAGCAACTGTCCAATGGCCAGATCTGGACATCAAAGAATCACCTTATTCAGAATAATAAACAGCACCACTGGAGAGTACTGCTTAATAGCTTTCATTTGAATGGTCAAACCATAGGATTTCATCCACAGACTTAAAAGTTAGAACCACCTTGTACAGCATAATAAACAGCACCACAGGAAAGCAACGAGCTAACTGCTCTCGAGCGTCCGCAACTTTTCCTTCCACGTTTAATATTTGGTTTCTTTTGTCGCGTTTAATCTTCATTTCCTGTCACTTGTCTGTTTAGGTTGTAAAGATGTTTGCTGAATCTCTCTCTGGTGCTGGCAAAATAGAAGCGACATCTTTATTTCATTACCAGAAGTCTTCCAAAAGAAAAGCCACTCCTTGAAGAAAGAAAACTCAACTTTAAACCGTACAAAGAGGCAAAATTGCTGTAAAATGATGTGGACAAAACTACAAAGCCTATAGTTCAGTCCAAATATTGGCTGTACTCCTGAAGAGGTCCTTGAATTTTCTTTAGCTAGAAATGCACGAATCTTAAAACGGAAAGAGAGAAAAAATGAATTATGCACGTGTAAACACAAAAGAACGCGTAACGAAAAAATAAGAAAGCCCTCTTTTCTTCCCCATGCCTTCTCTATCCAGCGCTCTTTTGCATCTCTTGTGTTTCGTACTCTCTCCTGTTTAGCGTCTTCCACTTAAGGCGGCGGCAAGCTTTAATAGCAATGTACACGGTTTTTTACCTGCCATGTCCCCAGTCTCCCGCGTCCCTCCATGCCCTTGCTTGGAGCGCTTGGTGTAATGGGAAGGATGTACTGTGTAACAGAGCCTCGGAATGAGGCAGCAGTATCTGTTAACAGTGGAAGAAGTTTTCCAGCGTGAAACCCTTAAAAGAGAATAAAATGAAGTATGTTTAGAAAAGTAAGTTATGGTGTAGATGTGTAGATGTAAAATATTCTTACAATGACAAGAAATAATTATCATTCAATGTATGGTTGTTGTTGTTGTTGTTGTTGTTGGGCAGGAGCGTCTCCTGTGTTAGGGGATGGAGCATGTGCCGACATTGGTAGAGCATCTATCATAACGACAGTGCAGAAAATTCCATAGAGCGTTTTCACTCTCGTGGCTAGCACTTAAAAGTGTTTACATTAGAAAAGAGTTCCCACAAGACTGGTTTGGGACACAACCATGGCGGATGTGACGTCATGTGAACTATATTCATATTTTTGTAATAATTTCGTCGTTGGAAGTAACGTCGATTTTTTCACGCGATATTCAAGCCAAAGCATCGTTCGTGTTACAATAGTAAAGCAGAAAAACTAACTAAACTGATTAATACGGTTTTCTTCTCGGAGAATTAGTTTTCTTGCGTTTGTTTACATAGTAGCTGTTTGATTATCTTTAAAACTGCATGTCGAAGTTCGCGTAAACGCCAACAATACAACATTGGATTAATAGACGAGTTCATAAAAACCATATTCATTGTCAAATCCCACTCCTGTCTCTCCAGCTTTGGGTTAATGCCCAAAAGTAACAGTGATGTAAACATCGGAAAATAACACAGAATCATACAGATGTAATACATAGAAGTGTTGAAAGTACTTCTTTTCCATCGCGCCAGGTTCTGTTTATGATCAACAATCACAGTTTGCATGGCGGGCTGCTGTTGAATTTGAATCTGAAGCTGATGTTTACGAGCAATTTGATAAATTTTGATGTACAAAAGAGTAGAAATCATAAGGCAAATTGCAATCCCGAGGGCCATAACTAATTTCGCGTAAGTTACGTTCTATAATCTAATACATGATGTTGTGCACACCAAGAACCAAATACTTAGTGATATGTTTACAGCGCGTTTATTGGTCATCATATCCGGGTATCGTAAGTGAAAATGAAGAGCCATAAACCGATCCACGCTGATGGCCGTCATCGTACAAAGAGAAACACTACAGGCTAAAGAGACGAGGATGTAGGCTAAGTGTTCTAATTCCGGTCCTGGGTTAAGTCTGAATCCAATGTAGATCGGTTTCACAACGAACCCGACAAGAAGATCTGAGACAGCAAGACTACATAAGAAAATTGTGGACGGTGAACGAAGAGAAGGAGTTGTTAACATTGCGGTCAACACGAGAACGTTGCCCATGATTGTTAAGAGCATAAGCAGACCATTAAGCAAGCAAATCGTAACAACAAAATTGGCCATCGTATTGACGAATTTTTGCCTTGAGTTGTAAAAGCTGATTCGGATCGCCTGCTATCTTACTTTCTTAGCTTTTTTCTCGGGGTTACACAATTGTACTTAATGTATTATACACCAAGGTAGCTAAAAGACCAAAAATTAATTAAGCTTAGCATTCTTATTTGCTTTTTGATGTCAGTATAATAGCTTTTTTATGACTTCGTTACCCCTTAGTGTGCAGATGAATTTTTGGGTGGATTTGATGATTTCGAACCGTCATGTACATATTGTATATATATTGGCTTAGCTTTCCCCCAAAAGAAATCTTGGAAACTCACTAATATGTAATTCAGGCTCAGGCGGACTATCTAGGTACGTATGTTTTTCATATGTGTAGCGGAGATGACACGAATCACTTACACATTCTCATTGATTTGGGCTTCAGAACTGAAAACCAGGTGCAGCTCCCATTCATGTCCCCAGTCCCCGTCGTTTCTGCTCTGGGTCACATGAAGTTGTGACAATGGTTGGATTTTTGGAATTCAAGTTTTGAAACATACTCTCTTTCAGTTTTTATTTTTATCACTATTTTTAGAGAAAATTTCCTAAACCCTAACCACAGAAGTCCTCCAAAAAAAAAAGAAATCAGATTCACGAATTTTGTGTGTTAAACAGTGCAACCCACCAGTGCCTAGTCTTTAAAAGATTCTAACGAACAAGTGGCATTTAGTTGAGAATCACCCATTTAGATTACTGAGCAAGATAACAAAGAGCGATTTCACATACAGTACCTGGCGGGGGAGGGGAGGGGGGGCAGGGATGTCCAAAGATCCTGTACTTTGCATTCCCGGCTTCCACCTCGTTTTCTTGGCTTCCTCAGTCCCATTAGCCCTGTATTCAGTGAGCATTTGAAATCAAAAGTGCCATTTTAGAGAAGGGACGAATTTCTGAAATCAAACATTAACTGGGAAGTCAAAAATGAAACCCGGCAAAAACACGCCATTTTTTAATCAAAGAAAACAGGACAAGATTCAAAATAGACTTGCTACAAGTCGATCTCTTGGCGAGCGGAGCGAGCCTTTTTTGGCCGCAAAGCGGCCGACCGCGAGCGACGAAGTCCCGCGCCGTATGAAATCCGACGAAGGACTTTTTTGAAAGTCTAGATTCAAAATAAATACCAAATGTTAGCGTTTCCGCGTGTTGAACAGTTATGCAACAGAGGAAAAATATTACAGGATTGGCAATTAAAGTACATCCTTCACTGATTCGTGTAACAATAGACTTTTTGAAACCCGATCTTATCATGTGATCTCCTACACTTATTCAAGCTATATTCTATTTAACAATTAGTCGCCTGAGGCGACTAATTGTTTTAGTATAATTACACTTATGATTATTCGAGAAAATAAAATTACTGATCAATTTCCGAGTCCGAAACATCAACAAATCTGGCTGCCGTTTTGGAAAACTGCTAGCCTTCAATGTTATAATCACCGCGCGGTGATTGTAGCGGGATGAAGCGAAGCTCCTAGCCAATCATAGCGCTCTGTTTTCGATAATCATCAATGTAATTATACTAAACTGAATTAGTATTTTGGCTAGGTAACAAGAGACATTTGATTTTTTTTTTTTAACAAGAACAATTCAGTAAAGAATATAGCTTCATCGACCGGAACAGTCTAGTATAAGTATGTATACATACATCTATATATTACTTGTATTCTGAGTGGAAGGTATTTCGTAGAGCGCTCAATTCATTTAATTGAAGAGCATTGACTATTAATAATCACAGGAGTTCAGGCTTCAGGAGTAATCATTGATCGTTTATTGCGACAGTGCTGTTTCCTATGGCCCGAAAATTGTAGGACCACACTCATCAGGCAACTTGCGACACCACTGTCGCAATAAACGATCAATGGTTACTGCTGAGGCCTGAACTCCTGTGATTATTAATTCATCTATATATTATATATATATACATTTTTTGACAAAAGAGAAAGGATGTAAGAATAGACTTGTTGAAACCCGATCTTATCATGTGATCGCCCACGCTTATGCAATTCTGAACAGCTATCGTCAACGTTATCAGGCTAAGTGTACTCCGGAATAAAACATTTCTATTTTCATCACTATCAAGGCGTGCCTTGACTTTGTTACAATTCGGATTCTCACAACTGAATCACTCGTGATGTAAAGATTTTCTTAAAATCGGCACACTCTCGACTCTTTGACGTTGGCCAATGCTGATTCCTTGTTCCTCCACACAAGCAATCTCCCCGAGGCGAACACATGCTCCCCTTCGCCTGCACTCGTGCGTATCTGGCAGGTACAAAGTTTAACGTCATCAGACGCCCGCTGTGCAGGTAGTGGTTGACCATTTGGAATAGCTTCCAGCTTTTCCGTTATTAAACAGAACATGTGCCGCCGATAACCAAGCTTGCTTTTGCTCGCCCGTAACAATTTTGTTGGAAACTACAATAGCTATCGGTTTTCAACATGTGTAGTATAAATGAACATACCAGCGTGCTTACAAGGTGTGAAATAGTGGCCTTTGATACGGGAAGTTGTTTGACCTTGAATTCAAAGACTCTTTGTATTGAGAGGAATGATTTGGTGCAAAAGTAAAATTTGACTCCGGACTGGATTCAGCACCGGAAAACGTCGTCGGGGATTCAGATCCGTATCATTTTTCTGAATTGAGCGCATACGCCATGAAACAGTCTAAAAAAATAATCTAAACTGTTTGTTTTTTAAAATTTACTCTGGAATTCTACCTTAAAAACAGTTGTTTCCTTTTAATTTTAACAGCAACTGACAGTCCGTAAAACAGGGGGTATGGGCGAGGAAGACTGTTTTTCCTTTGTTACAAGAACAGATACTAGGAGCCGTATACGTTAATTAAACTTGGAAGCCACAAATGATATTTTGCTAATCGTTATTCATCATTGGAGAAAGTATGAAAATCACATTACTGTCATCAGTTCACGTCTTAGGATAACGTTCCTTAATTTTATAGTCTATTTGCATCGTATGCATTGTTTTCAGTAAATTCTATGCCATCCATATGACCGGTTATCTGTTTGGTCAGAACTGGTATAGATATCAAAAGCGTGTAAAGGGCTGGGTCCTTTAGGCTTAAGAGTTCTGCAAAAACTTTGTCCGGAAAGCCCTCTTCTCGTCGCTCGCCCTGATGTCTATAGCATTGCGACAGCAAACCCGTTTGTGGAAAAAAAAAGGCAAACACAGGCAAGTACTTTCAAGACTATTATATCATCTATCTTATTCTGTTTTATTCTTTCAATGCAATGTTAAATTTTTTACAAAAGCATCTTGTTGTTTGCAATTCACGGCTTATTCTTGGAACCATCGCTGTGTCAGAATCTGTCACGCTGACTCAGTGAGCCTGTGAAAAGTGGCATGATATTAAACCGCACAACAACTACTCCTTTCAGGGTAAACGAATTAGTCACTTTTTATGAATTAAACTCCCGTCTCCTCGCTTACATGTTTATACCCCCTACCTTGCCCCCAGTTTTCTTCTGAACAAAACTATAAAATACAGTATGTCAAATAAAATTAACACGCGATTTTCGGAATACACAAATGGATACAATTTTTTTTTTTAGTTTTAAGCTTAAGTTAATTTTTTTGTCTTTTATTTGTGACGCTAGTATAGAGATTACATATGACGAAAACTTACAATGTAAGTCCATTCAACTAACCTAGAATTCCAGTTTTTCGTCTTGCTACGTCATGGGACAGTTTTGAGCCAATGAATGCGAAGACAATTGTTAGAGACATCGACAGTCGAGGCACTCCCAGATAAGTTAGGTTACTTCGACGTTGGTGTTTAAGTATTAAAGTGTGTCGCTGTCTTTATCCCTTTCAACGGTAAATTTTCGACTTTTTGTTGCTTGGGGCAAACCTGAAAACATCAGCCGAGTTGATTTTCTCAGCAAGCATCCCATCATACAACTTTATCAAGCTACATCGCTTGGCTTCTTGCTGGTGTTCTTTGTAAAGTAGATTTTCCGCATTGCATTGCAATGCATGCGTTGCTTGTCAAGGTAAGAATCGAAGTTAATTCATTTCTTTTTCATGTGAAATCTAAGCATACTATGTCTTCTTATTGTGTGCAAGTATCATATCAGGTCCCCTGAGGTTAAACTTTAAAATACTTCGCCACTTTTTCACATGTAAGCTCACTTGCATCGCATACTTGAATAACATTAGCTTAAAAGTGCCTGTTGTGTTGTGCATCTTTCTTTAAAGCGCTCTAAAAAGTATTGGGGCAGGAAACAACGATCTAGTGGTCAAAGAAGGGAAATTTAGTGACTCCTTGATTCGATAATCAATTACATGGTTTTGGTTACTCGTGCAAAAGTTGACAAACGTTGGTAGTGAGAGATGGCGTGAGGGAATGATCGAAGTCGCGCGAGTATACGAAGGACGTGCGTGGGAGGAAAGAATAGCCCACCCACGTTCGATATATTAGGCTGATTTAGCAACAGAACATAATCAAACAACTGGCTTGACCAATGGCAGAGTGACAAACTGGGCACTGGAAGTCACGTTTAGTCCTTTCGGCACGCTTTCCCGTCCTCAACTGATGCTCCCGTTCTGTTGCTAAATCAGCCTATTCTAACATGACTTCAAGCTTTCTGGTCTGTTTTCTATGATTATTTGGTTTGGTCTCCTTTGTGCTCAAGTCTCTTCTGGGAATTGCAATACAATTGAGTGGTTAGAAATTCGCAGTTTTGACCCTAAATCCTTACCGGGATTCAAGTACGAGCTATGGTTGGCCTGTTAAAAATGCCGTTGTCGATTTGCCAATCAAGATGAAAGGAAATTCAAAATGCTCTTCCAGTAATTTGTTGAGTATGTTGGGGGCCAGAACAAGGATATTGGCGCTGCTTCCCAGAGACTGCGACTCAGGCTGCTAGAAGTCTTGTTAGAATTTTAACATACATATGTATCGAATGTGGGCTATTCGCAAATCTGAGACCAAATCTGTCACATAACAT